CCAGCAGTGTGGAGTTGTGAGTGGCAAGAGGCCCCGTTTTCCTGTGGGGCAGGGCAAAGAGAGCAACAGACAGGTCCCATGGATGTAACTATGGTGCTTGGGGTACCTTCATGCAGTGCAGTGGGGAGCAGCAACTGGCTGGTGACAGACCAGGTCTTCAGGGCTGTCTGGCAGGCCAGGCCCCTTTAATCCTGACTGTATGACCCTTTGCTTCCTTTGGTTAAACTAGGGGTAGATAGGCTTGAACTAAGGAAATAAAGCCTAAAAGGAAAGACAAAACTCTCCTTTGTTCCCGACAGGGTGAGCACAAAGCCCATTTCCCTGGCTGTGGAGTGGCTGCACTACTGGATCTGCCTCTTGAGGTCAAGCTGCCTGTGATCCCTGGGAGCAATAATTTATACTATACGACGAAGTTAAATAAAAAGGTAATTTTTGTCTTGACATTGGTTGACTTTGCCCATTTCTACTTGCTTTTAAAGTCAAGTGCTACATTATACAAACTCCATTAAGGGAATTCGCATTAACATTCACAGAAAAAAAAAATCAACTCAAACCCACATGTAAACCAAGGTATTGTTTAGGATTCATGCCAATCAACTTCATTTAGTCTGGTTTGCACAGAATCATGGGATGGACAGGTGTTATTCTTAGTTCTCTCAAGTTTTGGAAGCATATTAACTTTTCTTTGTAACAACACAAAATATATTTAGTGAGATTTTATTTACTTAGAAATAAATATGTTTGGTTCAAAGGTGGAAAATTATTGGTGTTGGCTGGCGTTTAATTATGTTATGATTTTAACCAATAATAAATTGGACAAAACTCTCATTATAGAAACTTCTCTATGATTTTGTTTTGAGAGAAATTCTATTTCATACACAACAGTGAGGAAAAAATGGAATTGAAGTGAGTTAACATGCTTCAGTACTGTAACTTCACTTTAATGGAAGAAAGCTCTGCCTCCCGGAAGACACTCCATGATTTCCCCCAACCTTCCTGTCCAGTCTTTACTCCCACCCAGAACCTCTGCTTCCTCCAGGGGTCTTTCATACCTCCTCTCACATACCATGGGAATGCTTCTGTGCCTTTCCCTGGTGTACCCTTTCTTCTTCTCCTCAGTCTGTGAACTTCAGCCATCTTTCAAGATTTTTTTCTGAACTATCATAGCCCCCAGTGAGCTTATATTTCCTTAGAATTTGCGTTGCCCTTGTTTGTATAATTTTACTCAACACTACAATTCTGTAATTACAGTTTTATAACTTAACTCATACTGGGTTATAGTGTATACTTCCCTCAAACCCTTTCTTGTTTTTAGTTCTCAACACTACTCCCACCCTGAAACCTACCCAGTCCTTGAGTCAAACACTAACCCTGAAGGAGGTGGAGGACATTCTTTTTGAATGGTTTCTTTGATTAACAGAGCCAAAAATTCTACAAGGAAGAATTCCATGCGACCCCCTTACCCTTCTACTCTCTGTGATGTCAGAAATGAGTAGGTATTTGATACTTGCCAAGTAAACATGATTTCTTAAAGCAAGTTTTGCTTCTGGAAAATACTTGTTTTTAAAAACAAATCTGTTTTTCTAGGATAGAGCAAGCTGACTAAAAACATGCCTACCTCACACAATTTAACTGGGTCACATTCACACAAAATAGCTTTCCTACAGCATGCTTGCCACCTATACTACTTCTCTTGTGTTTAAATTTTACCCTCTTTCTTTTGTCTGCTTCCTCAAATATATTATTTGTTGTGTTACCATTTTCTGTCAAATATTAATTTGCTTGTCAACTACTTTTAAAAAAATGTTCTCTCTATTCTTATTATGTTCGTTTTCCCCAAACTGTCTTCATTTAATTATAATTTGGCACCAAGCAATTTCTTTGAAGACTGAGTTTGTGAGAGCTTTCCTTTTCTTTTAGTAACAGTTCCTCAATGAATAATGCTTTATATTTACACTTTTAGTGTGTTTCTTTTTTTTCCAAAGGGACACAAACCAGTTATTTTAATTGACAAACAGGATTATCCTAGCTCCAATGAATGAATTTTTTGTTAATCCTCACCCGAGGATATTTTCCCATTGATTTTTAGAGAGAGTGGAAGGGAGGGGGGAGGCACAGAGAGAGAAATACAGGCAGTCCTCGGGTTACGTTGGATTCGAGGTACATTGTTTTGTGGTTACGTCGCCATCTCCCATTTATTTATATTAAAAAAAAGTTCCGTCGTTTCGACGTATGTACATATGTGCTTTATGTTTTTTATTATTTATTTACCACAAGTAAAGGTCAGGAATTGTTATCTTTCTTTTAAATTTTTTTTACTGTTTCACTTCATTACTGCTGTGTATATGTTCCAGGTGAGTGACACAGGTGCTTATGTAGGTGGGTTCCAACTTACGGCAAAAATATCTCCCACGCAACCCAAGGACCTAATGTGATGTGAGAGAGACAGATCAATTAGTTGCCTCCCGCACATGCCTGGGGATCTAATCTGTAACCAGAATCGAACCTAGGACCTTTCAGTCCATGGGCCAAAGCTCTATCCACTGAGCCAAACCAGGTAGGGCATGAATGGATTTGTTTAAAAGGTGTTCTTTGTTTATAGGTCAAGTAGCCCAGGTTTGATCTTGAGAAACATCTCATCACAACTAAAATCACTATCTAAAAGAACTCGACAGCTAAATGTCAACCTCTAAAAGAAACAGTCAGACCAGTCCTGGACTCATGACTGTTGGTTGCTTCATATCTGGCTTCACTGAATTCAAGACATTGCCTCATAGAATTCCATTCTCTTCCTTCTCAGAGAAGCACTGGCAATTAAGGAATGATTGCACTTTATGATTTAGGCCCCTTGGAAGGGTTAAAGCCTGGTGTTAAGGCTGAAAACAGAAACTTTCCAAGGAAGCTTTAAATGGAAAGGAAAGCTAGCATCCTATCAGTTCCCACCAATCCCCTTTGCCCACATATGAAGCATCCTCCCACCTACCTTAAGGGAGTTCTTTGAGGACCCCACCCAGCCAGGCTGCTTAGTGTTCAGAACATGACTGACATGGCTGCTGCCAGACAGAGCAACACAGGTCCCTGCAGACAGGTCAGGCCTGTGGAGTCTTGTACATTGAATCAGGGCCTGCAAACAGGCCAGGTGCTCTCAGGTTTGCCACATCCCCACACATTCCAGTCGCCTTTCACTTGGGCCAGTTCCTGCTTTAATGTTATTTTAGACTAAAACTTCTGTTTTCCTGAGCAAAAACACATAAATAAAAACAAAAATAATGTAAAGACACTAGGACAAAGTCCACATCTACTTCTGTCCTCTACTTTTTCCCTTTCACAGGTTCTTGCTTAATGTATTAACACCATCCTGCTATTAAAAATTGGACTAAGAATTCACACCAAAAAAACCAACTAACCAACCAACCAACCAACCAACCAACCAACAAAAAAAGCCCCAAGTTGGTAATTTTTTCATTTACAACTGAGATTAAATAACAGCTATTTCCTCTAAAGCAGGGGTGGGGACCATTCGGCCCTTGGGCCCTATAAGGCCCTGAAAATCATTTGGTCTGGCCCTGCTAAGGCATTAGGGGTGAGTTAATTAAATGTTTGACAAATATAGCAGGCTAATTTTTAAATTGATAATTTTGTATGGCCCACAAATGATATTATAAATATCTAAATGGCCCTTGGCAGATAAGGTTTCCCCACCCCTGCAAAATAACACATATAGAAACATGACTATTAGCTGATATTTTTCTTCTTTTAAATATTAATGGCTATTGCACAAGGTTGTATTTGGTCTTTCACACATGGAGAAATCTCAATTCCCGTCAATATCCTTCATAACTGGTTCAATATATTAGACTTTAAAATCCAGATCTTGATTTTTTTCCTGATTGTAGCACTCAGAGATTGTTTGATTTCTTGTATTAGATAAGATCCCAAGAAACAATAACTCTTTAATCCATCATCTTTAACATCTGAGCTTTACTTCTATTATTATTTGATAAACTTGTTTCCATGCATCTTTGAAAAAGATTTTCCAATTTCTTCATTTTTAGATTATTGAGATATAACAGTCATAGTTAATATTATCTCTTTATACTTTGAATGCAGTGCCTTGACCTGGAAGAGGGAGGGAGGAAATGGAGAATTTAGCATTAGCTTTATCCATTAAAACACATTTTATCCTAGTCTCTTTCATTTCCTGTCTTCCTTTCTCTCTGGCTCAGGGTTAGAAACTGATGGAGATCAGTGGAGGAATTGAGTGAGGGTGGGTTTTTAGAATAATCCAGGTCAGGTATGTGTGTGGGGGCGGGGCGGGTAGGAATAAGCAATAAGCATTACCCAATCCAAATCTTTCTGTTGCTGATTTTCCCCATGTCGAATTCTTCTTGCATGCTTTATTTTGAATGAATATTCCAGTCATCTTCAAAATTTACATTTTTCATCTTTTTAAATCTGTGTTTGCAGCTTTTTCAACCTTCTTATGGTTTTAACCTGACTGATCCTTATTGTCGACTTTTGGACAACCAATATAATAGTCTTCATGATCCACATTTAAGAGCATACCATTCACGTGAAGATATCCGGAGGAGATTAAAGAAAGGAGGCTACATCACCCGAAATAATGAAGTGGGTTGAAGATTACTTCCTTTTAATCATTGAAGACTTCCAAGACTTGATATAAACTGGCTTCTGTACCTCACTGGGCTGGGGGTGGGGTTTCACTTTTAACTTGGTGATACTTAATGAGAAATTCTATAAATTACTTAGTATTTTGGGTCAAGGGAAAATCAGACAACAATTGCATTTCTAAATGATAGTACTTCTTCCATCTTTTTTGTTTATAATATCAAAAGGTGATTACCAAGTAATTTGAGGATATAAAAATAATTTTCTGACTGTATCACAGTTCTCTTTCTCTGTGTCCAATGATTTTGTATGCTTGTCAAGGATTATGTCTTATGAAATTTTTAAAAACTGAAGACAAAATAAGAACACAGGTACTTACTTTGGCAGCACATATACTAAAATTGGAATGATACAGAGATCAGCATGGCCCCTGAGTAAGGATGACATGCAAATCCATGAAGCTTTCCATATTTTTTAAAAAGAAAAAAGATTAGGAACACAGCAATATTAGCCTAATACAATCTTGATAAAACATAAGAATAGTTTTATATTCTAATATGTATTGAATATGTAATTATTATTACACTAGAGGCCCGGTGCATGAATTCATGCACATTGAAAGGACATTAATTAGAATAAATATTTTAGAGGCTGGGGAGGGACCACGGGAGTTTGGCTCCAGGGCATGTCTGGCCCGTCTCACCCAGTCCCAATTGGCGGGACTCCAGCAGCAAGCTAACTGACTGGTTGAAGTTTCTGCCCCCTGGTGGTCAGTGTGTGTAATAGCGACTGATCAAGCAGTCGACCAATTGGTTGGACACTTAGCATATTAGGTTTTTATATATATAGATAGGCATTTTATTCTACTAACTCCAATTATGTGTACTAAATTCATAAATCATATTTTAAAAAAGTAATGAGACTTAGATATGTCCTGTTGTTTAACAATTGTAGAGAGCTACTACTTACAAAATTGTTAGCAATTTATTACTCTTGATACCAAAATGCTATCAAATTGCATGTTATTAATATTTTTCCTTCAGAAAGTGATTGCTATGATTTTTAAATGTTTATGCTTATATTTTTTGTTATTGTTTTGTTTTTTAGGTTATATGTAACTTGACTGAGTTTAACAAGTATAGGCAATATCTTACAAGTCTGAAATTAGACTTCGAAAGGCACTACGTAAAAGAACAAGTAAGTTAAATAGTTAAATTTGTTTTCTTACGTAAAGTTTGGAAGAAAGGTTTACTTGTATAAAAAGTATTTTCTTGTAATACTTTTACCTTTGATTATGGCAGACTAATTATTTTTTCCAAATGAAAATTTAGAGCAGGAATAAAGAAGAATTTGAGGTTGCTTTATTGGGCCAAGAAATGGAAAGGGACCAGGCCATCTATTAATATGTCAGTGGTAGTTGGGTATAATTTAGTAACTAAATTGCTAATCCAGTGTGTTTCTTTTATCTGAGTTGGGGCCAACAGGAATAATCTATTGTGGCAGCAAGATTTTTAAACTGGAACCAAAGTTAGCTTGAGTAATAGGAGAGGAACAGTGTGAATAGTTATAATGTCCTACAGGTGACTCAAGAACATATACACTGTGTGTTTGTACTTATGTACATGCAGCTGTGTTCATCCATTAAAAAATTATATTAAAGGTAAAGTGAAATGATTAGGGGTAGAGAAAGTGAGTATGAATAGTGACTTCTTTTCAATTTTAAAATTTTTATTTAAAAAAAGAATAGTTATATTGATTTTTTTAAGAGAGAGAAACATTGATATGAGAGCTCAACGTGGAGTGGCTGCCTCCTGCCTGTCCGCTATGGGAACTGAGCCTAAAACCCAGACATGTGCCATGAGGGGAATGCTTTGACCAGAATGGAACCAGCAACCTCTCGGTGCATGGGGCAACAGCCAAGCAACTGAGCCACATTGGCCAGGCTCCTTTCAATTTTTGACTCAAAGTTAGTGTGTGTGTGTGTGTGTGTGTGTGTGTGTGTGTGTGTGTGTGTCATGCAAACACATGCCCATGAGTGAATTTGGATTTTAGGGTCAAGAAAGGTATGTGCATGTATACTTTTACAAATTTATGTTCTACAGTGAGAAAGTGGTATAGAAATGAGAATAACTTACCTTTACCTTTAAGTGTTCTATATTTCCCCCTCTGTGTCTAGAGTTTCTCTTGCCCTTCTTCCATACTTTCATTTAATTTTTTTCAGAATGGATAGAAATGTACAATGAGATATTTACTTTTAATTTTTAGAGAGATACATTTTTACTTTGGTTCAGTTACCCATGTCTGTAATGGATTCAAAATAGATTTAAATGCAGTTAAACTGACTTAGTTATTTAGAAAATACAAGAAGTTTACTAAACACAAAGTATAAAAAGGTATGTCAAAGGACAATTCATTTCTGTAAATTTTAAAAACATATATATGTATAAATACACACACATACAGATATATGCATTTATATGATACACACTTTTTAAAATAGGGAATGCTTGCAAAACAAATAAATAAACTACAACTAAACAATCAACTACGTGGACTTCCTGATGATGCACAATTCCAAAATTGGTTGTTATGGGAGGAGAACCAATCTTTTAAGGACCAGGAGCCATTAGAAATGCCCAGGTAAGATGGAAGTGAATGCATATTTTATGTATAGATTGTAGACTCAAATAAGTTGGAAAAATACTAGAAAGAATTGGAGCTAGGAATTTTTAAAAATGTACTAGACACTATTTAATTCCACTATTGACCTAAGTATAGAGAGGAAGGGAGACCAAGGGGTACAGAAATTGGGAACTTGGGTGTCAAGGGAAGGAAGAGCAAATTTCACCAGAGACGACAGGATTTCTGGGAGTACAAGAGGTAATCAAAACTGATAACTAAAGGACAAATGAGATCCAAAATCCTTCCTGTTGTTGCAAATGGAGGAAAACAATCCTTTAGCACTGGCCTTTAGCAGTCGCTTTTATTAATTTTTAAAATATATTCTATTGATTTTTTACAGAGAGGGAGGGAGAGAGAGAGAGAGAGTTAGAAACATCGATGAGAGAGAAACATCGATCAGCTGCCTCCTGCACACCTCCTACTGGGTATGTGCCCACAACCAAGGTACATGCCCTTGACCGGAATCAAACCTGAGACCCTTTAGTCCACAGGCTGACTCTCTATCCACTGAGCCAAACTGGCTAGGGCAGCAGTCACTTTTTATGATTCATCTTTAAGGGCTGACAGCATTAAATTTAAGGAAGTTCATGCAAAGTCAAAAATAGAGGTTTGTCTAAACTATATCTAATGCCGATATAGAGATGCATTGTCTCCAAAAGAAAATGTGTAAGCTCTTCAGATATTACCTGCTCATGGTCAACCATAACTATTTCATGGTCAAGCCCATATCTTTCTCCTCCTCCTCCTCTTTCATCCTTCATTAAGGTGAGGGATTGGGCTGCACAGCCTGACTTTTTTTCTGTGGGTCCATTTTGTGGTAGTTCCATAAGCATATTGACATAGCAGAGACACGAATTATAGATGGAAGATTTGTTGAAGGCTCTGTAAGTCACAGGGGACCCAGGATACATCCTTTTCTTCGGAAATTCAACCTTTTTTTTTCTTTCTAGATTTGAAATTAAATTTTCAGTTATTCCAGCCTTCTTTGCAAACTCACTGAGTTATGAATAATTACTGTGCAAAATGTATTTTTGTGTTTTTGTTGTTGTTAATCTTCAACCGAGGTTATTTTCTCTATTGATTTTCAGAGAGTGGAAGTAAGGGGGGAGAGACAGAGAGAGAAACATCAATGTGAGAGAGACATCGACTGGTTGTCTCCCACATGAGGGCCCGGGATTGAGCCTGCAACTGAGGTACTTGCTCTTGACTGAAATAGAACCCATGACCCTTCAGTCTGCAGGCTGACACTCTGTCCACTGAGCCAAAATGGCTAGGACTGTGCAAAATATTTTGAAGGAATCTGCTCCACATTTTACCACTGTCTTGGCCATAAGAACAGATACTGACATGGTAGAGAGATCTGTATGACAAAGCATGGTGAGAGCTGGCTTACAAATCCATGAACAGAACTGAGAGAAAAACTGAAAATTCTTATAGTGCAAGAAATAAGACTGAGTAATGAGGTGGTCTGGGCGTATCAAAGCAGCTGATGCCACTATAAGGGAAACATGCAATTCATCTTCACTTGCATTTGCACTTTTATTTAGTTATTTGGATAAGATAAGAATGAAATTAGATCAATGTGGATGTACAAGAGAAGAGCAGCGCCTCCTCTGGTTGGAAAGAGAAAAAAGACGACAGCAGGAACAAGCAAGAAGAAAACATATTCTTCATAGAAAATTTGAAGAGGTGAGAGATACATTTAAAATATTAAGAGAAAGATTGTGCCTAGTGTTTTATTTGAAAATAATTTTAGTTGTCTATAATATTTCTTGAAGTCACTTCAAGTCTAAGTAATTTACCCACATTAATCTTTCTTCACAGCTATGATATACAAGTTGTTACATAAAATAATGAGGCTGACACCACAAATTATATCTGCTCTTAAGGAGAGGATTGTGGAAGTTACCAGGCACCATTTAACTCCCTGATCGCCCTCAGTGTGAGGGGGATATCTTTTTAAATTTAGCATTCCTAGTAGGAGTGCAGGAAGGAAAGAAGCCCATTCAAAAGCCAATGTTTGACTTCCACTACACTTGATCTGATTCCTGTTAGGCTCTTGACTTGTTCTAATTTGCTTGTTGGTGGTGGACAAAATACAAGGGATTACTGTAAACACTAATCACAGTAACACTGTGCTCTTCAGGAATGGAAGAAAAAAGAGATGCTGCTTCTGACAAAGTCTGCAGAAGGTGTGCAGAAAGAAGCTGGGCTAGAGATACAACGGCGCAGAAATAGAGGAGAGGGTGACAAAAAGGTAGATTTAACTTTCACCTCTAATATGGGCTGTTAGAGGAGCTTTTGTTAGTTTGGATTTTTGAAAGTACCCTATACAAGATGACAATGGATTGGTTCCCCTAAATGATATGTGTTATATTTTGACCATAATATAAAAATTCCTGCCTTATTATTTGATACTACTGCTTCAGTGCATGGATTTGAGCACATTGAAAGGAAATTAATCATAAGGTGGCTGGCAGAGCGGGACTCGGCCAGATGGACTGGACACACCCTGGAGCCAACCTCCCACGATCCCTCCCCACCGGGCTGCACCAAGTCACCACAGCTCGGCAGCTCCTGTGTTGAGCATCTGCCCCCTGGTGGTCAGTGCACGTCATAGCTACCGGTAGGAATGTCTGCTCCTTGGTGGTCAGTGTGTGTCATTGCTATTGGTCGAACAGTTGGATGGTTGGATGGTTGCTTAGCCTTTTATATATATAGTAACTACTTTTGATTTTATTTCACACCATAAACTATACTTATAATTCTTATAGAAAAATGATATAACTGATT